CAGAAAGCCCATGACCTCTCCTGACCACGCTTCCCGGCTCCCCTTCAACCATCCCTGCTCTCATTGAAATGGCCCCCAAAACAGATGAGCAACAGCTGCCCCCTCCTCACCTTCTTTTTGCCAGCTCTAGTTGAAGTTTTGAGAGAAGGAGCAGGGGAAAAGTCAGTGCTTGAAGGAATCTGAGTTAGTAGATTAAATGTAGCTCTAACAACAGCATACCGACTTGCAAATATTTGCAGTCAGGTTTTGTGCAGAGTTAACCTGCACACAGTTTTATCTCAGTTTCTTTGCATTATTCTTTAATATTATAAACTTAGGATCAGCCTTTGATGTTTATCCAATTCATATTCAAAAGTCACCTCTGAAATCTGTAGGATATTGCAAAACTGGAAATGGGAACTTTGTATATATCAGCTCCATTATAGACACCAAAAATACACCAGCAAGTGCAGATCCAAGGGCAGCTAAGCCAGCCCGTAACAGCTTGCTGTGCTGAAAAGGGAAACACACACTGCTCTTCTATATGCTCTCAGGTCCTCTGCTGGGCTCCTGCAGTTTTAGGAAGGTCTGGTGAGCCCCAGTGCTGGCATAAGGTAGGTGGCAGGAGGCAGGGAGCTCTCAGTTTGTCATGAAACCATTGTCAGCTTGAAATGTTTGCTTGAGCAAAGGCCAGGGTTTGGGCTTGTCAAGAAGGTGTTTACCCAGCTGGACCTGGAGTCTGGCACACCTGCAGAAGGAGGCATTAAAGGGCTCCTGTCATCTACAAGGAGAAAGTTGTATGGTGCGTAGTAAGTCTTCACTGAGCAGCCCAGCTTGTCAGAAATATAAAACAATAAACCTACTGAAATAGTATGAATAAATTTTAAGCATGAGTAGCGCAGTAAGCCCAGGTTGTTTGCTGAGGCCCTATATATTATACATTAAAATATATATATATATTTGTGTGTTTATTTTCCCCAAAAGTCACAAAATGCAACTGATATTTGCTACACTATGACTTTGCATGAAGACCATGTGTGGTCATTTTTGACAACCGCAGTTAGGGCAATACAATAAATCTACACTGTTCACATAAACATTCTTTATACACCTTTTGGTATATTTAAAAGCAGTCCCAACATATTTACACATATTTGAAGACAGCATCTTGCCTCGTTTTCCAAAAGCCCTTCTGAACTCTGCTCAGCCACAGATGGTGGGGGGAGCACCCACAGCCATCACAAGTCCAGGATTGGACTCAAAGCTGCCCGTGTCCCACATCCCATCTGTCCTCCCTTCCAGCAGACACTGTTTCAGTCCTGCATCACCCAGACCAAGTCCAGGGCTTAACTCCTCTCTGTCGTGCTTTGCTTTCCTTGGAAAGTGCCCAGAACCACTCATGCAGGAGGACGGGCACGCAGACACAGCCACCACCACACCACACACTATGCAGTTGGGGTTGCTTATTTTGGGAAGTCGTAGGGGTCAATGCACCACGAGAAACAAGGTGAAGTTCCATCCATGAGCAGGAAGATAGCTTTGTGAGGCATCTCCCCTGCCAGGTGAGCACTGTGAGCAACGGATGATGACCTGTGTAGCTTTGGAAACTTTCCTAGAGCACATCCACTAACCAACACCATTCACATTTCCTGCAGTCATCCAGCACACAGTGTATTGAAGGGAAAACCCATCTGAATACGGGAAAGCTCTGCATTAATATACTATACCCTCCCTCCAAGAGTAAAGAAAGGTAAATGCTACTGTTTTTATATATATATATATTCTCCATCAAGAAATGTCCATTTGATCATTCACCCGCTCCAATCTTCCTTGCAAAGAGCTTCTTTTGTTCCCAAATGCTTCTCAGACATCACCTTTGCAAATTTATAGACTTGCATGATACTTTTTAGCGATTATTTGGTTTAGAAACAGCTCATGTGAGTCTTATTCCCTATTCCTGCTGTGTGGCTGGTTAACATTTGTCAGTGGCTAATGATGTTTCTAGTCAAAGGAGAAAATTTTTCAAAAAGCAAAAATAACACTGAATACAGTTGCTTGATTTACAGACTTCATACTCGGAGCACTCTTTCCCAGATAATTATCTGACCTAAAAAAATAGGGAGAGGATTTCCAGAAGTCCTTACTGATTTATCTGTGAGAAGTTAAAACCTCACTCGGGTGCTCAAGCATAGCATGGAGATGTCTGAGCAAATATTGACTTAGGTTCAGTCCTTCCCAAATACCGTTTTGCAGCAGGCAGCTACTTCTGCATTTATCCCTCTACAAACATGTTTTGTTTGACACAGGCTTGCACCAGTAAGAAAACTGGCTTTGTCAAGACAAGACTGTCCACTTTGAAGAGCTCCCTCAGTGGTTTCAAGAAGCATCCTCTCCCTTCGGTTGTGTGGGTCATCAGGAGCAAAGACATGACGCATCAGCGTGAGAAAATGGAAGCCACCAACTAATCTAAACCAGCAGAAATAGTAATTTAGCTCCAATTTACACACAATGGAAGATATAACAGGTGCAAGGCAGCTTTAGTGAACTTGTGACATGTTCACGAGGATGTGGTCAGTCAGTATTTCTAAATGATCAGGACTGAAAGTATGAGGGCATTTTTATGAAAGGAAGAAAACTGGAACAACACTAAAGCAGAAAAACCCAGGTAAGAGGAAACAGAGGAAAGCTCTCAATTCAAAACTTGAGTAGTGACAGAGACAGCAAACCACAAATTTGGGCAATTTAGGAATGAAAAAAGAAAAACTTCTCTTCAGATATAATTCAGCTTGAAATTTCAGCTATACTGTAAGGCAAGAGCCAGTCACAAATTACTAAATGAAGCCAGGATGAAGAGAAATTTCTGGTCTAGTCATGCATGTGCTAGTAGGATTTTATCCATTCACACAAGATCATCCACAGATGAAATAAAGAGCAGGGAATAAAGAAAAAGGATGCAGTAGGCCAAATGGGCCAAGTGGTTTGGGAGGAAGCAAGAAAAGCAAGAAAAAATAAAGAAAAACAAATATAGAGAATTAGGGGAGGGTGAAGCATAAGGCAGAAGCCATAGAATAAACAAATTTGGTATTTAATGGAAAAGCATAGTGAAAGAACAAGACTGAAGGAACTCATGGAAATTGGCAAATATGGAGCTTCAGTAGAAGATGCAAAAGTAGAAATTTTGCCTAATATCCATACTTCAAATAGGCTGTGACACTCACAAGGTACAGAGAAGAGCCAGCTATTTAAACACAGAAACGGGTATTTATCTTACACTCATCTTACCTGTCTCCCAGCCAAATCCAATCTGGCCAAATACAGCATCATTTCAGGCTAAATATATCAAAGACATCTTCACAACAGTTAGATCAAGGCACTACATTAAGCCAACAACTTTTAGAGCATCCACAGCCCAGTGAGGACACTGCTGCTGCAAGGGACTGTTCCCTTTGCAATGCCCACTTCCCAACACAGAACAGGAACCACTCACATCTTTGTTACTTTTTACTCATGATGTAGGAAAAATATTTGAAGGTTTGAGATGAGCTGATAATTCATGGGTAAAACATTTAGCTTAACCCGAAACTGTCTAAACAGAGGAATTACTGAATCCAGGGATTCAGCAGAAGAACTCAGACTTAAAAACTACTTAAAAGTAAAGCAAAGAACCCCCTCCACTTCAGCAAACTAAATGCTGTAACTGTCCTTTACCATTAATCCAGTTACTTTTATCTGCTCGCCTGCATTAAGCCAGCATGTGCTGATGACACCCAGCAGACTGCCACCAGCGTGCCTCCCCTCCTCGCATGTGCGTTGGAGTTACACGGGGAACAGATAAATGGCTCGTTTTCATGGGCTGCTAAAGCGAGCTTGAGAAAGCAAGTGGCATTTTCATGACAACCGTCCCCTCCTCCCAAGCGCCCTGCAGTCTACAGCTGAAATGGCTCCTCCTCTCCTTCCACAAGGCTTCAGGCAGGCAGGGCTGAATCCAATTTCTGTGAATACTGCTGTAGACGTAACTCATCTTGTACAAATATTTAATGAAAAATGCATCAAAGTATTAAAACTGTGATGTTAAGTATTGTCAGAACACAAAATACCAGCTTAAAAGTACCACTGTATTGGCCAGATGCGTTGCTGCCAGCATGAGAAAACTAAATACTGAAATAAATAGAGCAGCGCACATTCACAACCGCAAGATCTATCACAGAGTGATCTATTTCAGCTGAGCAAAACACAGAAAGGAGTATTGTAGAGGCAAACAAACAGGTCTGGATTAGATGACCAGGCAGCTCACTCCTGGTATTACATCCCTAGCTGCAGACAAAGGCCTGGGTACCCAGTGAAAGCCAGCGCTGGGCAGCGAGCCTCCCTGGCACACACCACGGCTAAAGCAGCCCTGCCGATTATCCCCAACAGCGTTACAGGTTACACAGAAGCACAGCCAAAGGCTCAGCAATTGGGTACGCGCTGGTGTGACCGACGAGCTGAAGGGACCCGCAGCTGCTGCGGAAGAACAGCCATTTCTGGACGCGCGACGCTCCTGCTGAGCACCCCTCCTGCACACCCCCGGGGTGGAAGAGGGCTCCTCCTCACCCCCAGCACCCACCCGCAGCACGGTCCACACCTGTTTGTTTCACGGAGGAGCTCTGGCAGAGAGGAGTTTGTACTCCTTCAAACAGTCTCCTGTCACACAGGCCCTCCCGCAGCAGCCGCATCTTAGAAATTACTGGTTGCTTTTTCATCCCTGAAATTAACTCCTATGATTACAAAGTGACAGACGTACTTGCAGACAAAGATCTAAGCAAAAATAGGCATACACTCCCCGATACATTAACAGGATTATTTAAAATAAAATCAAGGTCTTCGGGCTTCAAAAGCAGTGAGAAACACAATCCACCCACCTCCCCATCAGTGATGGACTTTACGTGGCTGTGAATCTGCCAGAGAGCACTAACTCACCGTGTTCCAAGAAACAGGGTGTAGTTTTGATAGCTAAGTTATTATAGTTTGTATAAGAAGTGTTAGCACAAAGCTTTTTTAGGTTTATTTAAATAAAAATTATAATTTATACAAGACTTTTTAAACAAACAAGATTTTCTTAAAAAATGTACAGGGCAAATCATCTCATTATTTCAATTCTTCATACAGTATAAGTCTTTTGTCAAACAAAAGTTACACTGATAATGAATTATTTACAGCTTCAAAATATAGACTCAAACTTCAGACATAAAAATTTTAACATCCATTATATTTCAATGATTAGTAGAAATTAAACATCTGCCAAAATGTACAGAATTCAATAAAAACTACCAGTGTTTTTCATACAAGTTTAAGTAGCCAAAAAAAAGTACATCCTTTCATCTCTTCACGATTGGGTAAAATCTCTTTTCTCTTTGTCTGCAGAAACAAGGCTAGGGTTTTGCTGCTGGCGTCCTGTGTGATGTTGCTACTAATAAACAGCTTGTTTCATTCAATCTTGCCTCACAAAAGCTACAGTGCACAGAAAGGCATGATTTCATATTTCAGCTTTTTTTGCCTTTTGAATTTAAATGGCCACCAGTAAAGAATTAAAGCAGTCAGTTTTCATCTCCCTTTTTTTTTTTTTTTCCTCTTTAAAAGGGACTCAAACTAACCAATGCACTTCTAAAGAAGTTAAATACAATTACACGTGAATGATCCAGCAATGAACCACAGACATCAACAGAATTGCAAATATAAACAGCCGACAGACAGAATGACGAGAACATCACTTTCTGCTATTAGAAAGTAGCACTTTACATTAAGTGGTACAATCCAGCCTGTTACTGAAGTACAGCAGGCTATGCTGCAAAACGTATGTAGGAAGATTGGAATTTAAGGTGAGAGCTTCAGTGTAATTATAGGAGTCAAGTCTATGTTCACTCACTGTCCATCCCCTCCTGCCTTCCAAACCTGGGAGAGTGTAGCAGGAGGAAAAGCGCGAGTAAACATACCGAGGTTACCCCCCAGTGTCTCTGAAGTCACATATGCCACAGGAGCAGTTATGTAGCAAGAACTTAGCCAGCCCAATGTAAAGTGAACTTTGCAAAATATTTACACAGATGTTTGTCAGTTATATTACAACTCTAAAAAAAAAAAATAAATCCAGTCTGTTTGCTATATATTAGAATGAAACAATGTTGCATTGCAGTTTGCACTAGGTTTACTGCTTTAAGAATTGCAAACTTTTTAGGTTCACACTGTTAAAGTGCGGATTGATTTCAAACATCAACACATCAGATTTTACAGGAAGTTTCTAATTTCTTTGTTCAGAAAAAAATTTTAAAAGCATATTGTATATGAGGCATTTCAGTCTGGGAAAAGGATAATGACTTCTTTTCTCCCTCTCCGAAGCCTAGGTATGGTTAATTGTCCTGGCACCATCAGCATAGGACCTATAGCTCCTCCAGGAACCAGAATCTAGGACAACCCTATATACTAGGGTCAACCAGTGAAGAGTGGGAGGGAGAGGAGGTAATAAGTGCAAGTCAACTAATTTCCTACTGAAACTGCTGTTATGATCAGAGTGAAGGTATAAATTACACTTGAAAAATGATACAAAAATAAGAAAAAGAGCATGCTCTCTGTAAAAAATATAGTTTTCTGTTTCTTCAAAAAAAAACATAACCTTAAACACACCCAAGAAATTTTTTCTTAAGACAAAATTAATTAATCTGATTAAGATTTATATAACATTAAGCGATTTTAATGCCTATTTGTTAGCCACACTTACTATTCAAGGAAGTTTCTAGAAAGGAAAGCCAAATGATAATACACAGCAATTACAAAAAGAGATCAATCGATTTTAAAGTAGGTTTGATGAGAAAAAATCAAGATTAAGGATTTTTACTTAAACATAAAACCTGCATGTGTAAAGTGAAGAAACCATAAACTGTCAAGCTATATCCATATTAGATGGTGGCAAAATGGATTTCCCACCAGCTTCACTTATACTTTAAATTTTCAGGCCCTGAGTTACACCATACCTAAGGAGGTGTTAGAAGAGCACCCCTTTTTCAGGTCACATAAAGACATGTGTAACGACTACTCTAAAGGGAGAAGTCAAAAATAGCAATTTAGCCATTAGGGTGGATTCTCCCACATTCTGTTCACATTTCCATCCAGGCCACAGAGTTTTACCCCATCAGTGTTTCACTTTATAATACCCAACCAAATCACAGTATTCAACAGTATTTCTTCATGTCAAGTTCATAGTAAGTTCTTTGTATCATCCCTCTTCATGGCCAGACTGAAATAAAGTTTGTACAGTTTGACTGCCATCTTCTTCATTACTGTTGCATTTGTTGAGAGACTTTAATTAAAAACTGTGCTAAGAGTTAAACACCCTTTGGTGTTTGTCACCCCTCTCCCTCCTTCATTTTACCCCTTTCCTTATAAAGAAAGAAAATTATTGTTTAAATAAAAAAAAGAAAAAGAGAAGAAAAATCCATTAAATTAAGTCCCATTTTTATGTAAGAATTTGCATCTCCATTGCTTTTTTGGGGGACATTCATATAATGTCTGGAGACATCTATACTACCCAGCTGAAAAGACATAGCAAAAGAAAAGACATACTGGAAGGCTTGGCGTAACTCCTACTGTGCTTTCATGAAAATGCAAATAAAATACTAAACCTCTCAGATGGGTGCTATTATATAGAGTATAAAAGCTTTCTAATATTAAAGACAAAGGTCAATATGTGCTTTGCTGCTAGAAATGCCTGAGAGAGTTTAGAGAAGGAGCACAGCCTTCCTATTTTACCTGGCAGTTGGGTTTAATTGTTACTAAAATTTAATTTTACAAGGGGAAAGACAGCAACATACCAATGCCCCTCAAATTACGATTTGAAAAGGAACTAGTGCTTTCAGCTGCTATATTATAGTGTTATTTTATTACAAGGTAACTCAAGAGAAAAGCCAAAATAAAATTAAAAAAAAGAGGTCATATCTCAGTTTAGTTTAATTATTCCCACCTCCCCCAACACAAAAAGCCTGCAAGTCTTTAATGCATTAACATACAAACACCTTGTACATACAACATGTACAGTAATTGAGCCCTTCTATGACAAGTATCTACAGAAATACAAATATACGATGCCTAACATTTTAGGAACAACATTTTGGTGCCCTCTTTTATAAAAAGTATCTGCCTGCCTTCCTTCCTCTTACTTTGGTTAATTAGGAAAGGAAGATATAGTTACAAACTTTCTTGTCCAATTCACTGTACAAGCAATTTAAACATCTATGCAGGAAAAATTGAACCTAACCAAACTGGTAAAATATCCTTCTGCAATGGAAGAATTAGCAAGAAGGAGTTAAGTGCAGTTATAAATATGGAAATATTAAGATGATAATATTTCCATGCTACCAGTTTTCATAAAGAACCCAATTAAAAACTCTGAGCTGAAGAAAGAGACTTTAGGCTGCTGCAGTCATCTTTCTCACTTCTCAGGAAAAATAACTAAGATAAAGGGTCAAATGTATCCCTAGTGATATCAGCGGAGTTAAAGGGATCAATCTGTTTCACTTGTTACTGACTTCTCCAAGTATCTTCCCAGCTTTTAATGTCAGTAAATAAACATTAAAAGTGCTTAATGTGCAAGGCTAATAGTGATGATAGCACTTTCACTGTTTTGTTTCATTTTGTTTTTTTTGTTTCTTTTTTTTACAAAAACCTTAAAAACAAACATGAAGGCATATATAAAATACACTTGATTTATGTAACATATAGAATATAAACCACCAGACAAGAAAAATTATTGCAAAATAGATGAGGATGTTCATTTTTTTCACTACCAAGTTGTAAAATAAGAAAGTTTCCTTTAGATCTTCTAAGATAAGATACTAGCTTTCGCTGCTCGATGATGCAGAGGTTATTTTTACATATTGGTTGAAAATTGTCTCAAAAGCTTCATCTCTGTGAACCATGGCACCAAACACCAAAGGCTAAATGATAGAAAAAGAGATCATGTCAGTCTGGAAATGAAAAATCTTCCTCTAGGTACAGTTTTGGTCAAATCAATAGGAACAGGAGCTGAACTGTAATCAAGGTGCATTAATGAAGCCTTAAGAATCTTTTTCTCTACTAAGTCCTTGGATATATGGCAGGGTCTCTAAGATTTTTTCACTTCTCCACCTTCTTAAAACAACAATGCCATAAAATGCATACAGAATATTAGCAATGGAGAACGATTCAACTGTCTTTCCTCTCCATCCACTCCATGCATGATGTTTTCCTGATTGACCTCTGCCTCCAGTAAAGATTTTTAGAAATCTTTATCAGTGCCTCTTCATTTATGCTCATAGAGTATTTATTTAGGTAGATGAGTATTTCCAACGTTGTAATTAAGAAGTACTTCTCATTATCAAACAAAGAGCAGAAACGTGGGTACAACGGTCGTGTGACTTGGAGAAAAGTTATTTATAGGTGATTAGTTTAAAACAACTTTCAGTCATACACAAGAAAAGCTTCAGTTGCCCAAAGGGTATTTGAGGCTTAGAGAAACTTAAATCTTTAGCACTGTAAGACTGAAACAGGAAAATTGCATCTGAGGGTCAGGCCCTTCCACCCCAAAGCCTTCTCTCACCCACAGATACTCTCAAGCCACCAGCTTTTTGTTTCAGACTGCACAGCAGAGCATCCCCCCATGCTCCTGATGAAGGATGCTGGGAAACAATCAATGGAGGTAGTGAAATAATGAAGCAAATCTCTCTGAAGTGTTATAGTAAAATAGTCCAGATACAGTCGAACAAGCTAAATGTTTAAACTAAAATTCTGAAGCCAGATACACTGACTAATAGACAACTGAATAAAAAAGAAAAAGAAAAAACAAACAAACAAACAAACAAACAAACAAAAAAACCCAAAACAAAACAAAACAAAAATCCCCACTGGAATAAGGAAAAAAAGAAGTCTTTATGTTGGTGCTAGACAGAGAAGGAAAACAAAAAGGGCATGAAGTCAAGTACAGCAATACAGACACAGCCAGCTACTTACTTTTTGTGTAGATGGCGTTGATACAGCAATACCCATCCCTGATCCCGGGAGAACAGAGAGCACTTTATACTAAAAAGAAAAACAAAACAAAACAAAAAAAAAACCAAAACTGACCAAAGATATCTTACGTACTGAACAATTGCAAAACGTTCTGAGAAGGTTACACAACTTGTCACTGGTGTATCCTCCCAGCCAGAGCTGACAGACATCTATTAAAACGAAGAAGAGGCCAGACGTTGTTCTTTGATCCCGGAGCCAAGGGGAACAGTGAGAACCTGCCTCTCCTCTTCCTCCCGCAGGCCGTGGCAGCTCCCGGCCTGCTGGGACCGGCCCCAAACCCAGCACCCCGGACCCGCTGCGGCCGGCGGGCGCTGGCCCAGCCGCGACGCCAGGGACGGGCCCACACGGGCCGGCAGTAGGCACCGGCCCTACCGGTGGGACTGCGCACCCGAGAGCGGGCTTGGGAGCACCACCTAGAGGTTCCCCTAGAAGGAAGGAGCAGCAAACAGACCAGAAAAAGCTTCTTTTTCAAAATTAAATTGGCAGACAGGGTATGTATAGGTTGTTTCAGTTTTGTTTGTTTGCTGTTTTTTTTTTAAAGAAGGTCTGTAGTGCTAAGAAGGAACACAGTTGGCTGACCTGGGGAATATGCTCAGGGAGGAAGAGACCCAAAGTCTGGCCTGTGTTTCCCACCCCCCAAATAAAACCAGGCACAGTACATTTTTATGCTTGGCTACATGATCCCTGTTTCATCTTCGTTAAAAAAAAATAACACAGATGCAAAAGGACCTTCATGGCAGTAAAGGCCTACTAAACAATGAGCCAGCATTACTGCGAGTATGATGTTTAAAATCTATCAACATGAATTATTAATTCCAGTAGGAACGTTCAAGTTATGCGTAAATTGTCTGCTTTACAGGCATGTGATATATATAGAAGGAACTTACTTGAAAATCTGGAGGCACTTAAGCACTGAGGTGTTTCTTTGCACAGCATGATTTAATCTGTGGCACTCACAGCCACAGGACGTAGCAGGAAGTAGGGATGTGAGTTTAAGCGTAGGACAAATTCAGCGAGGGTACCAGAAAGTGACATTAAATGCCACACAGAGTGATGCAAGCCATCAATAAAGCCACTAGTGACTGCAGGCTGATAAAACTCAACCAGAGGAAGGATCCCACTGTATTTGCCATGCTTCCACCCATCCACTTCTTGCCTCTGTTAGTGATGGGATCCCAACTAGATGAAACTCCAGACTGATCCAGTTAGGCTATTTCAATGATTTATCTTTCTCCACTGACAATAATCCCTCACCTCTCTGAGGCACCTACTTTTAAGATGGTGCATCTAATGATATCAATGTCCAAACTGAAGTTAGTATTACACAATTCCTGCTAACAATAAATCTTCTTAAAGCCTACAGAGCTCCAGTCAACACAGGAGTTAAGAAACAACTTTAATTTTTCAATTATTCAGAAGTGTAAGGATTTTCTAAACTACTTTGTTGTTATGCTCTAGTTGAGTCTGCTTATGATGAGTCCAAATGGCTAAACAAGCAGTTCTGGACAATATTCTTGATCAAAGAATTGCATTTTATTTATAAAAATTATCAATGGTATTCTTTTTCAAAATAACATAAACAAAAAAGCAAAATATGACTATCTGAACAGAAAACCAGCTTCCTCCCCTATTTACAACATAAAACAGACATACCTTCTGAATATCCGTTATATCCGTTAGCTTTATAACTTTATTTCTTTTAGATGAGCCAGATTTGGAGCTTTCAAAGCACAAGTAACTGAAGACAAGGAAAGAAAATGCTCATTTTGGTACAGTATTCTAAAACAAAGCTCTCAATATCCCTCCTGTCACTTCTGAAGTTTGAAATCTCACAGGTTAAAATCAGCTTCAAAAAAAATAAAAGAAAGAGGCACACAATTCGCAATTCAGTTATGGCTTCTAATTTAGACCAAACATTTGTAACTTCTAGCAATTGGCTAAGGTGTCTGAAAGCCCAGAACATACAGTATGCACACACACACACACAAAATCTTGTATTTATATTACTGCACTGAATGTTTAAACCTGACAAGAATTTTAAGGACACAGGAAGCACATATGTCCTTAAACAGTTGAAATACCAAATCTCAAAAGGCTTATAAATCTTTTACCATCCTAAAAGAAGATTAACGCAAAACGCTGTGTTAGTTTCATGTTATTGTGGTGCAGACAAAAGCCCAGATTTCTAAATGCTGGAAAGTGCTCTCCATTACTAGGTGACACTGCATACAGATGAGCTTTACTTCCATTCATTACACTCCAACAGAATTTCAGTGCAAGACCCAAACAGTAATGACCGCAGCTATTCAGCCCTGGGAGGCTGGGTGGTAAGTAAGTGTCGAGGTTTGAACCAGGACAGTAAGGATTAAAAAAAAATAAAAATCAAGTATTAGTTTTGCAACCAATGCTTGAATTTCTATTTTCTTTTTGTTGCACATAGTTTCTTTTTTTTAAGCACAAATTGAATGTATGGCTTCCTTGAAATAAAGTATTTGTCAAATAACCATTGATCACAACTACAAATACACTTATCTTTTAGGTTTCTTTTTTCATATATACGTAGTTAGTATGTTATCCACAACAAGAACTGTAGCTGCTAACAACGGACTACATCGAACTACTCTCCATTCCTATGCAAGCTTTCCCAAGGCAAAATCCCATTTTTAAGCATTACCACACCCCAGATGCAGCTCTCCCTCTCCTATGGGTTTTCTTGAGGTTTTAAAGCACCATGAAAAGGTATTTTTGGTTCTAAACACTGTTAAAGTATTACTTTTAGATTAAAATTTTTTAGTCTCTGTTGCATTCCCCTCCTAAGAAATGTGTACAGTGTAATGACTCACTTTTCTGTGACATAAAGAACTCCGTTCCTGATGTAGTCTGTAGGCATCTTCCTATCTCTGTTAATCAAGCAACAGCGCCAGCCATTTTCACACACTGAAAAAGTCATAACAAGAAATCTTACTTTAAGAAAAATAAAGAGATGGACAGGCATTACCCCCAACAATTCCCTTATAAACAAGCAAAAAACACCAAAAAGCAAACTTTAGACACTAAAACTAGAAGTCTTTACAAAGAAAAGCCTAAATAAGGGGTTTTCAGATATCATAACATCTGTTTTAACATCATTTTTTTTTTAAATAAAAAAAAAAAAAAACAACCAACCAACCAAAAAAAAAAAACCACACAAAACCGACCCACACAATTATTCCCTTTAACTTGACTACTCTATTTGCATTGCCACAAAAGGCACACCAGGCTGTGCATTCTTTCAAAGAACTGCACGGATGTAGAATGAAAGAGACCATCACCATTCATCCTAATTCAAAGCAAGTTTTTTTAATCAAAAGCTTATACCTGTATATTGCACAGAAAGGGAATTCAACTTTAAACTATCCTTGGCTTTTTAGAAAATACTCTACTAATGTTACCTTCTTTTGTGTAATACCTGCCAAAGGACGCTCGCTTTCTGACAGGTTAAAAACTTCATGGAAATTCCCCCTCTTGGTGGTATGAAAACGACTTGTGTCTTCATCTTTGCTTATTCCAGTTGGTGCGCTTGAGCCCACGTAACTTCTGGATGCTGCTGTTTGAAGCTGCAGAAAAATAAACACGATTCTGAAATTTGAACAGCAACATTTAAGCTCCACTCAAAAAGAACTTGGCTAGCTATTCTTCCTAAAAAAAAATAAATCTGTAATGCAACAATTTTCATCAACTATTTCAGTAAAGTTAACTTTGGACTACTGTGTTATGCTATTGCTAAAACTCTAATGTGTTATCTAAACCTAAACTTTCAAAGTGCTGCCCTTTGATGGACACCCTTAGCAAGGGTGAAAGTACATGACACTAAATGCATCTATCTTAAGATATTATTTTTCTACGGTAAATGGCATATCTGATTAGATATGGCTAAGTCACTGCACACAGCTCCAATTATTATACTAGTGAGACTACTAACAGTTAATATATTATCAGTACTTGGCTTGTATGACAGACCAAGCACAAAATATTATTGCACAAAGTAAGTTTAGAAAGGAAAAAGAGCAAACAAAGAAAAAGCCACACAAAGCTGCATAAGCTTATTATGAATACAAATGCTGAAATTGAAAGGAAGTTTTGCACGCTACGATCCATACCTTTTCATGCCCTGACAGCTAGCAGGAAAAGAAACAAACAACACAAATGTGACAGTGACAAAAGAAAAAGTGAAGTCTATTTAACAGTATAATACATAGAATAAAACATGAACTGAATGACACTGCAAGATCTTGCTCACAAACCAACAGACTACACACAATGAATGCAATTAAAAAAAAAAGAGTTATCAGTGGTTAGAGCACACCAGTTCAATTTATTCAAGTTGCATTAGAGCCACTAAACTTTCCTTTGCTTTGAAGTTGCACTGAATTTTGACAGTGTTGACATGCGAAATGAAATCAGACTGGCTGTCAGCACCCTTGGGGGTGGGAAAAAGGTAGCATGGAGTTCTCAAAACTGAAGTATTCAAGTAAAATCTACTTTTAAACAGAGCTCCTGAACCACTGGAGACTGCCCTAACAAACAAGCCTTACTTCTAGAAGGACGGCAGAGTTTCATTTGGAAAGTTTGTCTGCATTTGCTTTTTCATCTTGGTGAGGCACCATAGGATTCCAAAGGAGGGGTTCTGTCATCAAAGCATAAACAGCTCTGTTCTTAGCCCTACTATACAACATGCAGTTAAACAACTGGCAAACTGACAACATGCAAGCTCAGGACTAAGCCCTGCTTGTGTAAAGGCCCGATGTTGTTGGAGGCCAACCAGCCTCCACTGCCTTTGTTTTTTTTGCACGTAAGTTGGCAGCACTCGACACTTTGTAGGATTTAACACTAACAAAAGAAATACAAAGCAAATGAAAAAATGTGCACTGCATTTGCTGACTAGAAACCAGACTGACAGAACAGGTATAGCAGAGGGTATTCACCATCAAGCTTTTAGTGTAACTGCGAAACAATGATGCCTCGGGGGAAAAGAATCAAGAAAGTTGACATGAAAAGCAAATGGTTGATGATTACTGTACTATTGCTTCAGTTACTGCCCTTTGCAATGATCGAGCCCCTCAAACCAAGGAAAATAATAGTTTCCAACAATTCATGTGCGAGTAAAGATCAGATGAATTTTTTGAAGGCTTTCTTGGACAAGTTACTTAGCTCCATATGCACATAACCAGGTGAAGCTCCATGGCCCAAAACATTAAAAAGGTCAGGGCAAGAGGTATAATGCTTTATGCACTGGAATGAGGATTATTCCTGCTCTCTGCTACCCTGCTGCCTACCTACACATTATATAAAGAGATTAAAAAAAGATGTTTAAACTTCAGTACCACATCCCATCCAGTGGCTGAAGATGTGAGAAAGTTCTGCCATTACTTTTAGTCCTTCTTAACACAGGGCAAATGTTTCATCTATCCTTAAAAGCAGCGGCTAATTTATCCACAACCACCCAGGCTTGAGACAACCTATGGTCGATTACTAAAAGAAAAGCATTGCACTGAATTTTGATAAGCCTTAAATCTAACTGGAAGTGATTGGATTTGGAATGCTGGAAGAGTCCTGACTGTCTAAAAATGCCACCAACAACCTGATTATAGGAATATCTGGAAGTATTCCTTTTCACTTGATCTGTCATCAGCTTTTGGCATACAACCTTTACCCGTCAGATACTGTTGTCAGGATTGTTCTCTAAGGACACGGGGTCAGAGTAGTGGTATAGGCAATGAATATTGCATTGTGTCTAGGTTTACAGTGTCTTGTATGCTGTTTAATAAGAAGCCAAAACAAACGCACGTATGCTGGCACTACATGCTTTTGGGCTCTGCCTTTTCTATGAAAAAAATGAAAAGCCTATTTGCTTTTTACCTTTTTGTACAAAAATCTATTTTTTATATTATGAGGTTCCCAGAAATCTCTCAAGCAGTAAGTAAGTTTGTCTAAAACTGTTGAGACCAAGTTAACGTTTTCAAATACACTTGGAAGCAGATAACGTAGTCCTGCACATCCTTTCCGGCAGAAAAGACAAGCCCGTCAAGTCAGACACTGTAGTACTAAAACCAGCCTGGTCTAATTGTCAAAACTTAAGCCACATGGAAAAGCCAGAAGGCATAGTTACTCTCTAGGTTTATGGGTTCAAGTTCAGCAATTCAGAGCCTTTCCACCTCTAAGGCAGATTAGAGAGACTCAGTGAGAAACTGTCACAACCACCACAGTATGTGAATGATAACCTGCAAACTTGAGAGGCACAGAAACTTTTAAGCCCATCTTCTGCAAGCAAGAGAAATACAGGCTATGGGCAGCTCCATCCAAGCACTTATTTACCTCTCTCGTCTCTTGGAAAATAGTTGCAAGACTCACTTTCTGTCAGAGATCATCCTTCTCTTCTACTTCCTTCTGAAATACTCAGATTATGCTGCATTTATTTTACCACCAACTGCTCCATCGCTCCTGGAACCCCATATTTCTTCTTCTTCACAGGTTAACAACCGAGGGTTCATGTGATTATCCTTTTTGCTCTCCAGTTGTGTACCCAGGCTGAATTACTGCTAAGTGCTGCACATTTTAGTCAGGGAATTTATAACAGTACTCAGATACTCTGTGAATTCAACTAGATATTGTGGTAAGAGGCATTAAACAAATGCTAAATTGGGACTCCTCTGAAGTTTTATTACAACTATTTTGATTTTTAAACTAATAAACATTGACAAATTCAGGGACATGGAAACACATTACTTGCTTTTCAGTTATCATGTCAAGCCCCAAAATAAATTTCAAAGATGTGAAAAACACAATACTTAAAGATTTAACTATGAAATTTTAACAAAAGAAAAATTTACTGTTGAAGTAGCAACATGGTGAAAAATCATTTATCACCACCATGTTAAAAGGTCATCTAATACAAATAACCTGAAGACATAATGCCTAAATCTGTAAACTACTTTATTACCTCTGTTAATGCTTATTTCATTAGTAAGCTGCGTATTATACTCAAGCCTTTTTTACTAATTGTTTCTCAATCTACACAAGCAGCTGAATTTCCACTGAAAAAGAATGTCTGAAAACAGAGAAGGGGCATACAAAAAAGACTAAATTTTGACAGTAAAATCACACAGAATGTATGTTACAGAATTTTACATGAATATGGATGGTGTTATTTTTGTGCATTTAGCTTCATACAATTTCCAGTATATATATTTATTTATATACACATTTTGATAATAGATTCCTTTCTTACAAGAAACAGAATCCATATAAAAACTCTGTGGGTTGTGAAAATAATATAAAAAATAATACAACTAACATTGACTTTTAGGATTTAATTAACCTTCCTTTTAATGTGCTCTAGTCACTGGGAAAAAGAGAAAGGGAGAAAGGGATCTAATCTTCAAATGTTGAGAACAGAGGGACAAAAAGATTTATTACCCTTACCCGTCTCGACACTGTAGCATTAGATCTTTCTTTGAGCTGAGGATCTGTCGGGAGACTTGTCCAGATGATATAAGGAGTATCATACTTAGCTCTTAGTCTGGGGCATCGTTTGAAGATAAAATCAATAAGGAAAAACTTGATTCCAGCATAGAGTCCTGAAAAAAAAGGTCACTTTTATATTCATGTTGAAGCAACATTAAGAACATCACTGTTTTGATCACATTTTAACAAGTTCATAAATGAAACCAAATTCTGTATCTTCAGTCACTATGCTAAACCATTCTCTTGAGTTTAGTATTTTGATTCTTATTCCAAAGGCATGAAATTATTTTTTTTATCTATGCTGCCCAGATTCCTTCCTCTCCATCTCCAGTTCTTTTAAACCACTTACGTAGCTTCTTATGTAGAAGAACATTAAAATAATTCAAAGATACATTCCTTATTACCAGAAGCATTCTGAAAACATGATATACTTCCAAAACAGAAAACACATCAGAGTGTTCAACTCTGCAGCTCCTTGCAAGAATTTAAATGGCAACAGAGGGCTCTCATGTACTACATTAAACTCTATCTTCTAGTCTAGTCTGTCCTCTTATCTTATACAAGATACTTCCTTGCATTCTGCCAGATTAAAAAAGGCTCAAAATAATCTCTCAAAACAGATCACTTTCTAAGGGTCAGAGCAAAAAAATAATTCCTCACACATCTAATTCAATTGCTACATCAAGCAAACCCACATTTATGTTCAAGCTAATACAGTTCGACTAAAAATAATGCTCATTTGATCATATAATTACTTTAATGAAAAAAAAAAAAAAAAGAGAATTCTTGGTTCACAGGACATGGCTACATATAGAGAAAAGACAGTCTCATGCTGTAGCGAAAACCACCTTTTCTCAATTCTCAGCTGAGAGTTAGCATCAGCAACTTCACCCACAGTAATCTGCTCGTTTTGTTCAGCCTATCCTCCAAGTTTTACAAGTATTCCCTAAAACCCTTTAATTTTTTTCCAACCCTGTCATCTTTGTGCCTTCTATGTGGCTCCACATATTTAATTTGAAAGGATGTATGAGTGAAAAAAAAAAACAAAACAAAACCAAAAATAGAGGACTTCCTGGAAGCCTTATAGCTGAGTCTGAAGACCTCTGCTAACAGCTCATCACAGACTTCCCCTCTTCAAGGAGCAAATGCATTATCCAGTATTTTTCTATTATATCTAGAGATGTTTTTCAAAATGCACAATAATCGATGTCAAGCACAATGAAAATACTTTAAAGCACTGCATTATTTATTAATGTGGGGTTTTCTTTCTTAAACTCTAAAATTCTCCTCTAAAGATCAGGTTAAGTTTTAACGTAATAAGTTCAGACTGTAACAGGTGAATTATTTATTGCATTTACCCATTGCAAGCCCAATAATCCTATAGGGCAAAAAGCAGGATGCAATAAAAGCTGCCCATAGAGTTATGTAGAGCTTCTGTGTTATTTCTGGCTGGACCCACATGAACAAGCTGAAAACAAAACAAAACAAAAATTTATTACTACTGTTCCAGACATTGGTCAAGACTTGTTTTTAGAGGAAAAAAAGACTCATGTCAGATAACTTACTTTTTAATTTTTTCCAGTATGTCTGCCATCTTGCCAAAAAGGTTCTGCATAAGAAGCAAGAGAATTAAAACCAAGTCCTGCATTTTGTTTTGTTTTTTTTTTTTTTTTTTTTGTCCACATAATAGAAACCATAAGTTATTTTACTCTGTTGGTAATAAGCAATTCCCAGAAATTAATTTTTTACCTCATTTTTAGCTGTTTATGTATTTCACTATTGAGTATATACAGAAGTAAACTTCATCTTCCCAAAAAATTTCCGAAGGTGTTCATATAAACACATGCACCACTGCCATCAGAAGGAAGGTGATGTGTGCACACAGTTGGCCAGAGAAGGGTAAGCTACTTTCAGCAGCGACACGTCATTAGGCATGGCACACGGCTGCAGTTCCACTGGAGGGTGGAGTCACTCAGCTGCTAGGGTAGCTCAAACTGATGGAGCTGGAAGAAAACCTTATCTCGCTCTCTCCCACACAAGCAGCAGATTTCAGGGCTGTGGGGGGAGTGGTGGTGGTGGTGTTTGTTTTAAACACTATTTTAGAGATGCTGTGCAAACTGTTGAATTAACACACAGTGAAGGAACAGGTTCTCTTACGCGAGTTTTGCAACTAGCAGGTTTGGGATATGGAGCCATACGACAGAACATTGGTAAGATTTGCCACCTGATCTACATTATTAGAAGCTCATTTGCATATATCAGGGGAAAAACTGTCAGAAGGTGCTTCTGTTCCCCTTCAGACCTCGCTCAGAGCTGTGACTGGAGAACCTCAACCACTTCTCTGAAGCATCATGCCATTCCAGAAGCTCCAGGCATCTTACTGAGATCTCTACTGCTCACAAGTGAAAATCCCCTTGCAAGGGATGTATGGTTTGTTTAACCATTTGCTTTCAGATGCTGTGTAACAAAGTACTTTGACCACTTGGACTATGAACCTCTTTGTTCTACAGAAGCAGCGGAGAGGTCCCAGAGCAGCACAGTACCTGTGCCTTCTGAGCCACATCTAGAACAAGCTGAAACTTTTCAGACACCGTCAGGTCCTCTTTTGGGGGTTCCTTGGGCAAGAAAGAAACAATCCATTAATTTTCAGCTCAGTTAAAACTGGTATTTTACAAAACTCCTCATGACAACATGACCCTTCAATAGTCTTCGCATTTTTAAACAGTCTAAATTTGCCAAGCTCCTCCCTTGTTTCAGATCTACTGTTTTATGTCTTTCACTGCTGGTTATCTTTAGTTATCAACGCTTTTCCTGCATGGTATATGCGAACATAGTCGTATGAGACTGTGAAAGACACAGTAAGCTTTTGGAGCAGCATGGTTACATTGGCTTTCAGTCTACAATCACATACTTAAATTGACCTATTTCTAGTCTAGTACAGAAATATATATATAAAACTTTTTTTTTTTTACATCTATAACTTTATTCATTTGAATAGATTATTGGCCTTTTAAGAATAACAAAATTATCCTGGAAGCAAGGCCTCACTAAGTCTTAGTAAAAGGTTTGAAATTCAAAGAACTCCATCTTATACAAATACTTCAAATACTTCCTGCTTAAAGCAGGATATGCAAATATTTATTTAAAAAATGTTACAGAGAAAACAGAATGAAAGGCTTCTTGAGGATCCCACAGGAACTAACGTGTCCCAGGCTGGCATATTAACATTTATTCCAGAAATATCATTCAAGTTTGGAATATTTTATGGTGAAACACTCAAACCTAGTGCTGTCTGTGAAGATTTCTAAATTTAAAGAGAAAGAAAAAAGCTGTAGCTTCTTTATTTGCACCTAACTCTTCCTTCATTTTACAGCTACCCACATAAACACAGAGGAAGGTTTTGAAGGTGCAACTTTTAACACAGGCATGCAGGTCAAACCGATTGAAGGCCTACCATGGGTTCAGAAACTTCAGGCACAATGCTCCACTGTATTCTCCAACCCCTAGAAGTTATGGAAATAGTTAAAGAGAGCAAGTACTTCTCCTCCACCTGCCAACATGGACTATTTGTAAGAGGTTAAAAAGTGGTTTTCTGCAGCAAGCACTTAAGCGTTAAAAAAAAAAATAAAAAAAAAATCCTCCAATCAACAAAGAACCCACAAAATAACATAAACACAAGTGACAAACCACAGAGAGCTTTAAAGGAATATACATTAAAATAAAGATTGTATTACCTAGGTGGATACTACTCAGAATCACTGCTTGCAGGTTTTACAGCAAAAGCAAACCGTGTGCACAGAGCAAATAATTAGGAATATATATATATATATTTTTTTTTTTTTATGTGAACAAAATTACATCAACTTACTCTGGAGCCTATTTGCTATTGGTAATTTTCAAATAGAGTGCCAGACAGTAAGTGTTAATTAAGAAATCATAAAATTATTTTTAAATATGCACATTAATATTGTCCCCACCATTTTAAGGTAGAAAACCCCATCAGCCTAAAATAGTATTTTTAAAAGAGCATCTCAGTACAGAAAATGTACTTCTGTTTTTTTAAAAAGTAAGTCTTAATTTTTAATAGAGACCAAACATACAAATGGAATATACTTTGGATAAAGTATGCCAAGGGCCACTGAAAAAGGCAAAACTGCTATTTTAGGCCTTCTTCAGGGAAAAGGAGCAGGGTTTGGTATTTAAGGTGATGTTTTCCAACTACTCTGAATACTGCAAAATATTTTTGTTTTAAAGTGTTAAGTCTGAGAACATACAGCATCATTTATGATGACCCAAGTCACAGGAAATGAAGATAATCCCTTAGAATAGCAAAAAATTATAGAAATTGAGCAACAAAATTAATGATACTAGAATTTGAATTCAACTTCGTTAAACTTAACTCACAGCATTAGAAAAGGTAACAGTTTATGACTCAGAGCAAGAATAATAAAACTTTTTGCAAACAAAGCATTACAAGACAATAATCTAGTATTTAAGTAAGTACCTGGCTATGAGGTAATTTAGGGACAACCTCAAAATTGCTAAAAATAAGAACATAGGAATGGCCCAGCCATGCCATACAGCATTCATGTAAATCTGCAGATTAAAAAGAAAAAAAAAAAAAAAAAAAGAAAAGAAAGACATATGGATTACAAACTGGGGTACAGTGAGTTATATGAAATATCATTTCCCACTGTACTGTTGGGTTCAGAATTACACAACTCAGATGACAAAAGTTAATAAATTTTAGCCACCCCATGACAGACAATAACACTGTATTCATGAATGTAAAGTCAAAACTACAAGATTGAACTAAATCTCCAGAGATAACATTTAAATAGTGACCAACTGCTCGAGAGAATTAGTATTTCTAACACTGCAATTATATGAAGGTATAGAAGAAAAATAGTAAACCTTAAACTCTGTGAATCTGCTACATGACCATGATAGGCCTGACATCACATAGATTAGTTGAAGCAATGGTATGGTAGAAGAGTTATAACAATTAGCCCCTTACAGAGCAACGGGGGAAACTCTCACTATATTATTTCACATCAACTAAATTCCAAATTTTTACCAAGCTTAAAAAGATTTCTGGAAAACAGGTCTTATTTTACCTAACAAATACAGTCACGAAGTGCTTCAAAAGGTGTTCTGTCCCCTTCCCAGCTTCTGAAAATACAGACTACCGTCTCTCTGCAGAGAGACATTAGACTTTTTACTAATAACACCAAAATGGAGACTCGCTCCAGCTCCGAGGTCCCAGAGGTCTCTGAAAAACAGCTGAAATTCCTTCTTTCAGCTTTTATCTGAAGAATGGGTTTATCAGGAGAGGTGAGAGAAAAATCGTAAGATTAGGAGAAGGCACAGACACAGAGCACTGGGAAGGGGAATTTTCCTCCTCACTATTCCTTCAGCTGTGCCATGAAAAACAGCATTAAATAAGGCTCTATAACTTAGGGAAGGATCATTTCATGAAAAGGTGTGTGACATTTTCACCAAACAGGTTAATTCAGCTACAACTAGTGGTAGTAATTTCCTTCTATATCATAATATTTCATATACACTGTGACCAAAAGAATTTAGATCATTTAATTAACCATTAGAAGGAAAACAAATCAAAACTCTACTAAATAGGTATGTCACTTTGTGGCATGCAAAGTTCCTTACGTAACGTGGGAATGCTTGAATTTAGCTCAGAGACCTGATGTTTGCACATAAAATTATATTAAAATCAAGGCATTTTGTCTCTCATTAGTAAGCATGATCCTAACAAATGGCAAAGAGCACTGATGGTAAATGATAGCTTCTTATCAAACACTGCTGCTATCAGCATTTCAGCCCTAGACAACAAGAGACTTTGCAGAGGCTGAACTAACCAACAAATTACAGGACTGGGAGACAGGAAACAAGAAATGAGAGAACAATGCCCAGACTGTTCCAAACTATTTTGACAGTTACAAAACTATGTACAATAAACCCAGAACACACAATTTAAGCGGCTCTGAAATATAACTGAAAGTGACAACTACTGGTATTTTGTGTTAAATGAAATTACACTATTTGATTTGACTTAAACTGTAGTATAGCCCCTACTTAGATATGGGAGTTTCACTGAATTTCAGTATATAATACATTTTAAAAGTTCCTACTACTGGAGGAATAGGATAACTTACAATAAAGGCAATAGCAGAAGTGTAGATAGAATACCAGTCTGATAAGGCAGAAAGATTCTTCACAAAATTAGTAACAGGTTTGGCACCTCTCTCTAAACAGAAAAAAAACACAACTGTTAGACTTAGCTGGCAGCGGTTAAGTCACTTGTAAATGACAAACAACCAAATTAGAAAATTAATAGGAATATTCAAAGACATGTAAAGATAAAAAGGCTTATCCTAATTAAGAAAAATGAAACCCATTAATGTAACTGAACAACTAGATAAGTAATGCATTTCCAAAAACTGAAGCGTTATTCAAGACAAAGTGATGTCTAAACTCTGAAGTGTAGACAAAAATAACCAATACCCTCTACAAGGGTACCCTGGACACTGACAGCAGTCTGTTCTAAGCCCTGTTCATACTACCCTGGAGATGTCTGCAAGGGCCAGTTCATCCCACTGTAAAACAAGGTAAATGAGCCTGACTGGACTCCAAGCCACCAAGCAACAACTTGCTGCTACTTGACCAAGCTAGCTTAAAGACAGGCTAGATCGTTCTCGGCTACGTTTCTGCGGGAGTCTATCCATTGGCAGCACTTTGCTGCTTACCCTTCCTAAGCCAAGAGACACAGGACCTTGCTGCCTGAAGAAGTTTGTCTCCCGTCTCTGCAGACCTTTGCTCTCGCAGTCACTGCACGGGAGACAAACCTGTGCCAGGAGAAAAGTCACTCCCACGTGCAGATGCCCACGGCCAGCCTGCGGCAGCAAGAGGAGCTCTTCAGCTCCCTGAAAAAGACTTGTCCTTTACCCTTCCTACTCCTCTAAGCTCTTTTACAACTTGGGTAAACTAACTGAGAGACACAACAGGAGAGGGCTGCTGCAAGATGACCTCTGCTCTCTCTCTTGGAACAGACATTGGGTTTTGCCTTCCCTGCTGAGAAGAGTGATGACCCCTCTTGCACAGGGGGCCTCAGAAGCACCCACCCTTGTTTGCAGTACAGCTCAATTTTCAAAGGCTTTCCTCCAGAGAGCTTGCGACTTGCTGTCCTAGTTTGTTTGGCTTGAAATTCAGCTACCCTTGAAACATTCCCTGTGGGAAGTAAACAACTAGGACTCGAATTTCCTTGAGCATCAGCAGCGCAACCGAAGCAGCAGATGAAGTGGAAGTGCACGCTTGAGGCACTGGAGGGGGTCACAGGCTTGAGCACTGCTCCACCATCCTACACTAAACCTACCGGGAAGGTGAACACCTGGAAACCGCTGGCAGCAACAGGGGTCTTCAGAGCAACCAAGGGTCTTGAGAGCTCTGGTGGGTGGTTGTCAGGCATCCCTCAACAGCAGGGATCTAGATTTGGGGGCTCACTGAGTGGAACTTAAGAACCACTCAAAGTTTAAGCTTAATGCCGCTTTTTTAAAAGCTATTCTGAAGGCAATGCACATCCATCCCAAAGAAGAGGTCACAAGTATTATCCCGAATAAAACTAGAATGAATACCAGTATTAGAATATGGAGAAAAAAACCTGACTTTACATGGAGATAACAGACCCTTATTTCAACCTCACCTTCTCCCTTACAATAATTTAACAATTTGGAGCACAAATCAGCCATTTTTTTTTCAGGCTAGCAATTCTTTGCTGCACTGAACTTTTGGAGGGCTTAACTACTTTGTTTAACCCATTGTCTTGCATCCTGCACCTTCCAAAATAGTTTATCAGCTATCCAAGAGAAAGAAATGCAAGACACACTCATCCAACCCCTCCTTCTTTGAAAGCATAAGCTAACAGACTAGCAAAGCAAACTACAAGCAGCTCAGGCATAAGCGTATGAATGTTACCTTTGCCATTGGACAAATACCCTGTTCTCATTCATTACATGTTTACACATTTTAATTAACATTACATTTTTACTTCAGAGATACACTATGTAACTGAAGATTAAAGGCAAGCTTGTACCAATGCTCCTCTAAGTTACTTTGCACTCCAAACACTAATTCAGGATTTCAGAGCCATTTCTGTTTATGAACTGGCAGAAGTATTTCAAAACTGCATTTTAGGATGCAGCAATATTCCCAATAGAGTTACTAAGAACTATTTTCACTTCCAGAAAATAGAATACCGTTAAATACTTACTTAATCTTCTCATATTTTCAGTCAACCTGAAAAACAATGGATAGAACCCAACTTGTTAAATACATAGTGCAGTTGTGTACATTTGGTCCCTAAAATACTGTTCACAGTTATAAATTACATGTTTGTGCATAAAGCTTGTTATTAAATCTTTCTTGTAACTAATACAGACTACCTTACATCACACCAAAAACTGAAATGTAAAAGCTCTCCAGCCTAAGACTGTTTACAGTTTTTGAAAGGCATATGACGGAGCCTGGTAAATAACTCTTACTCTACAGCAGATAAACTTCAAATTTTGTGTCTTGGCCAATGCATTCAAAAACCTTTTGAGACAGTTCTGTGCTTTCAGTTTTATTATTTGTTATGCAAACACTTGCTCAAACCATGCAAAAAGTTGTTAAAAAAAAAGAGAGGAGGAAAAAAAAAAAACAACACAACAAACAACTCGTAAAGAAGCCAACAATTCCTCACAATCACTTTAGAGATTTACCTTCTAGCACTAAGTGGCTCTTCTGTTTCTACTGTATTCTCTTCTGGCTGAAATCTGAAGTCCTCAACATACTCCCCAAATTTGTCACAAAACCACTTCTGGAGTCTCGAGCAGACTGTGTGACTACGCTTATCTATAAAAAAAGAAGCACTAAGTATCAGGATATATCTTCATACCAAGCCTGCCCCTGCTCCCGCACACCATGCTTTGCTGGGAAGCAGACTCTGTACAGCTTTCCTGCCCTTCACCAGCACTCTTCACCATTGCACAGAAACCCTGACTGCACTAAACTGGTAAAATAAGACTAAAGGTGACTCCTGCTCTAAGTACAGCACATGGAAGCATCTTATTACCAGAAGTACAGAGATTACTCAAGCATCCTAACAAACAAGAATTTTTAGCAAACACTGTAAAAACATTTTCTGGTTAAGAGGTTCCTCTAAACAAGAGACTGACATAAATTTCAGCATTCCTATTGTGCTGAAGGGTCAGACTTGAGAAAAGCAAGTATAAAGCAAAATACTCCACAGCAGAGAACAGGACAACCACTTTTCAGCCATACAAATTTGACAGGAGAGGGAGGTGGAAACTTAAGCAAGATCACAGAATACCAGGTTGGAAGGGACCTCAAGGATCACTTGGTCCAACCTTTCTTGGCAAAAGCACGGTCTATTACCACTTCCAGCTGAACCTTTAAAGTGTCCAATACCGGGAAAGATCCTGCAAGGGGAATTTTTACTACCACTTTCCAACCATTTATAGGTTTTAAAGACTGTGCGCACATGTGTATGTGCACGCACACATATACACACACACACGTGTGTATATATATGCACACATGATAAAAAACACTCACATTCTTTTCTCTAGAGCCAGACTACAGAAATTATGCTGTACATGCCACTTTATATATATGGAATATATAGTCATAATACTGCCTGGAAGGTCTTATATGGCAAAGTAATGAAGTGATGCACACTTTCTGTATGTCAGCTGCAGTGGAAAAATATAACATAAATATATGGGTATATGGAAATAATATAAGGGTAAAAGCCTTAATGTAGCACAAATCAGAACAAAATTATCATGTTTTGCTTTACCTGTAACTCAGAAAATGACTGTCTACAAGGAATAGACAGATTATTCTTTGGAAAATTAGGTCAATACAGCAATGTCATGAAGAGGACACCAGTCAGAACTATCCCAAGATCAAACTTGGTACAGAACTCCATAAAATTATGTTATGATTAATCAGCCAACTACAACAGCCAAAATGATGCTTTTAAGCATGTGAGAAAAAGCAATCAGTGTTCAGAAAATAGAATCAAATTATATATTAATAAATGACAGGGATATCTAGAAAAACAGGGAATTTAGTGACAGTTTAGAGCTGAGACAACACTTCAATTTGAAAATAAAACAAAGTAGCTACCAACATGCTAATACTTCAGGTAGTACTGAGAAATAAATTTTGAGCGTACAAGACAGAAAAAAAAATGGCAGGCTGGAGTTCACATAACAGAAAGTGTTGACATTATGGGAGTATAAGAGGAGCAATTTCAAATTTAATCCACAGACTTAAAAACATAAAGCTCAAACAAGAAGTGTGAGGAGGAAAGTTTAAGTGTACTGAAAGATTGAGAATCTGCCTGTTGCCTTAGTTCTTTCAGAAATCACTGTTATTAAATTCATAATAAGCAGCAGCTTGAGAAATGTAGACGACAGTGTAGGTGTCCAAAAAATGAGTATGTCTTTATCTTATTCCTTCTCCAGAATGTCTTTTCTTTTAGAAAAAGGAAGAATGGCATAAAAGAGCTTTTGCAGTTGAGAACAAAATAGAGTATCTTTTCCATGTCTTACATCTGTTTTCTGGTAAGTCAAGCATCAGCAAAGCGTGCAAGAATGACAAAGTCAGACAACAGGTTTCATTACATTCCTAAAAGCTTTACAATACACAATAAATTCCTTGCTCAGGTGTGCAAAGTCAACTACAAAAAGTAAACGCAGAATCATGTACAGAGAGGTAAGAAGCTGCTCAAATCGTCATTCATATTCAGCTTCTTCAGAAGCCTGCTTAGGGATCCAGGAAGTTTTTCAACAAGGTTTAATCTTCTAAGGATCAAAAGAAAGGGGTGAAAAAATCCAACTGAATAAAGCTGCTAGTAGAGATCTGACCAAGATTACCTGTTCCATTGGCTTGCGTCTGTGGCTTTGCAGGTTGCTGAACTGCAGGCACCTCTTCTGTCCTACAAAGAAAACAGAAACAGTGTGAAATGCTACAGATGGAGACTTTTTTCCCTCTTAGGTAAAGGAAGTAACAGAACCTCCACAGTTTCCATAGCTGAGATAATGCAAGATGACAAGAGAAAAACAAACTCATGCCCTTTCGCAGGATTAGAAATATTCATTGCAAGTTGCACTTCGGATCCAGGGAAATACCACCCACTGGAAGAAGAGGTGTGGTTAAGCCATTTCCTGTCACCAACACCTCAATTTCATCTTACACCTACTAAATAATTTAGCATTGAATTTCTTGCATTACTTACGCCTCTGTGTTTTATATTCAATGCAATGCCTACCAGAAAAACCCTTCAGAGCTCTGACTACTCCCACAGTAATGAATGAAAAAGGATTCAATACTGCAAGTTGATAACCACAATACTAGAATAAAACCACAGTTTAGTGTATGAACCTAGAATTCTGCCATCATTACTACAGTCAAACACCACTCATCTTCACAATGAGAGGAACAGGTGTCAAGAATTATTTAAAATGTTATGTTGGTAAGCTCTTGAAACACACAGATACCAACCAATTTTAAAAATATCTTTTTAAAAACTTGCAAAACTTAAATAATGGTCTGAAAAACTGAGACAAAAATGTTCTAAAAATACACAAGTAGCAGGCATCATTGGTCTCATCTTTCAAAAACAAGTCAAGAATAATATTCTCATCCATTAAAAGTGATCAGATTTTGGAGAACACAAATGGTTTTGCCATTCTGCACATGTGCAAAGCTTCAAATTACATTTGCACTATCCAGTCTCCAACTGCCAACCTGTCTTGAGAATACTTCAGGCTTCAGTCCAAAAGTGTTCAGCCGCCCATGGAGATATCCTACAGAAAGATTTCTCTAACAAAGCAGCAGCTTTGACAGCGTAACACCAGCGACAGCAATCTTTACTTGACAAGGAGTTGAATGATTGAAAAGATTACTGTTTGAAACAAAAACATTTCAGTTGTGCTATCTCATTATTACTCATTTATCAGACAATATAGGTGCTTTCAAATGTTCCCTTCATCATTTGCTCCTCAGGAAAGGAACCAAGTGGGTCACTGGTCAGCAAATGGAGAAAGAAAAGAGGGATCCTACTGTACTGGGCAGACTGCAGCAATATAGACAGATATACAGTTCTGTCTCCTGCTGTTCCTCTAGAAAGAACATTAAAGAAAGATCTCGCTGTACTGTCTGCACATGGAAAAGGCAATTACTAATGTGTGCTGTCTCCACATCAGCATCAATGAATATGATGGAGAAACTACAGAACTAATTACCTCCTTTCCTTCCTAAGCATTCCCCATATTTAATGAACTTTCCACATCCTTGTTCATTTCTAAAAGGAACATTTAGAAATAATTTACTGATTTATAAATTATAACTGGACATCTATCAGTGTGGAAAAGCTGAATTCAACAGTTTCTGCTTTAAAAGTCACTTGTTTTCACACCTCTTCAGGACTTTTCCACATGGCTTCTGTATTTGCAGCAACTCTTCTTTTCAAAAGCCACCTGAAATTCCACCAGTTTCTTTTTTTCTAGCTAAACTTTTAACTTTGGTTTCTGTGAGGTTTTTCCCCAGTTTCTATAGAAACCACGGGTTCCTTGCCTAAAATCTCCCTCCCCACTTGCTCTTTCCCCCACTCTCTTGCAACTCCTCCATTTCCAGCTCTGTTTCTCTAAAGACAGACAGCAATTAACATGATCAAATTTGTACAAATTATTATACAGCAGTGTCTTGTTTTCCTCTATCAGCACATCAGATGGTTACACCATATAGGTGGGCATTTTCATCTGCAGTCTGTCACTGCCACCAGGTTTCACTGAAGCTGAAGACACATTTAGGTAGAGAGGGGGTAGTCATTCACAAACAGGTTCACAGTAGCAAGGAGCCAGTTACTCAACCTGTGCCACTTGTGTGAAGGCACTGGGGGGGTGTCACACCTGAATGGCTCCAGTGACAGAGCCAAGATGGGATCCTACTACCACCAGCCATCAGAGCCTTCAGACTGGGTCTTCCTTTGACATGCTGGAATCTATTTTCAGAAGCAGCACAGTGTCATTACTTTCATGTTTCTTCAGGGAAAAAAAAAAAAAAAAAAAAAGAAATATCAAGACAATCTAATCAAGAAGCAATTCTGGATAGCAGCCTCAGTGGGCTCCACCAGGAGCACATGATGGTTTTTGGCCCTTGTTGCTTTTTTGTTTCATTTTTTCTGGCAGTGTCTTACTTGCCATCTGTCTGTTACTCCTTCCCTATGAAGAACCTGACCTTTACGAATCATCAGGTTAATGACAGCTCATTATTGCACCTGTGAATCAGGTTATAATTAGCTACTTCAGACAGATTTGGGCCAGGAAGCTCAAAATTCATTGTTTAGGCTTGCACACCCATTGGGAAGCTCAGTCCCCAAACCAGGTCATGTTGAACCAGCCAGTACATCAAGACCACTGACAGAGGGGAGGAATTATCTTTCCTACAGTTTCTGAAGTCGTCTTCATGACAGAGATCAGTTAAAAGGCTGGAAAACATAAATGGTCCATAGAACAATGTAAAAGGCTGTGTTCCTATGCAGGCTTCCTAAGCGCAGCCTGCACCAAAGAAAACAAGCTTCATGAATTCCTCTGGGACCATGCCTTCCACACAGGAAAAAGGGTGTAATTGGTTACACCAACAGATCTTCAACCTGAGGCTGGGATGTGTTTATGCAACTAGAGATCACACCCATTTAAAAGCACAGGCTGATTAAAACAGATAAGAGCAACCACAGCCAATGGAGAAGACAAATGTGCCCTTTTTATTTTCTTTTGTTCCCCTCTTCTTTTTTTAATGTACTAAAGTCAGGGAAGCATGAATTTTAGAGCTGTTCATAACCACTATACATGTACCATTCAAAAATGACCAGCACATACTGATGCAGCATCCACTCAATGCCACCCCACAGAATAGCACCAAAACATTAGTTTTGTAGCTGCAAGTATAACTCAAGTTAAGGGAGCCTTGATGCTTAGGGCCATTTACTTTAAATAAACATTTTTGGTTTGTGCATATTAGGGCTTTAATACCGTTGTGAGTTGGGGCATATGTGAATCAACAGACTCTCCCCAACAACTGCGTGAAGACCAGACTGACTGCACACAACAGGTCCAATTGCTGCCAGGACGTTCTGAGACAAATTAAAAGCAATTTTCCTATAGGCTAAGCCCAAGTTCACAAGCAACCCATCATCATTCTTTTGACAGCTGTTGTGGAAGCCAGACAAGGCTGTTACATCCTTCTTACTGCTCAAAGCAACATGAATGTGTGTGCACTTCCATCAAAAGCACCTTCCAACCTCAGAAATGCAAAAATAAGCATAAGCAAGGTATTTTCACAGCCTAGTTTAAAGACATATCATTCTGGTATGCATGACTCCTTAACCTGAGGAGCTACCACAAAACTGACCTAAATTATTTTCATATCTTTTGTATTTCCTTCCCATTAAAATATAACAAACACTTCAGAAGCCTTTGCCCTTCTCACCCACATTTGATATAGCTAGCATCCTAATATGTAGTTTCTGAAACAAAAGAAAAGGTTTCCGAAGAAATTCCATCAACCCAAAGTTGTACAAGATCTAAAAGTTCATGGGCAGAAAAAAAATTAAAAAGAATCTCTTGACAGCAGCTACTTTACAAGCAGCCTGTCACCAAATCTACTAAGTTAAAAAAATAAAGACATGCACGAAGTGCAGCCAACTGGGTATGTTGGCAATCACATACATATACCAGCAAGCCTAGTGCAGCACAGCAGCCAGGCGAGAAGCTTTTGACCCAGGTCTCAGGTTCTTGCTACCTGTGCAGAGTCCCACCCTGATGGGTATCCTTCCAGGAGGGAATGTTTCCAACCTCCAGAGCAATCTCAAGCTGAGACAACATCTCACCAAAGTCAGCCATGCTCAAAACATCACGTGTGGAAGATGACATCATTTAACAAGAGGCCAGGAAGAGTTAGCCAAGATAAGTGGCACAGAAAGAATACTGGCTTATGCAGAAGCATTGTCTATTTGCCTCTCTTAAAAATAGTTCACAATGATACTAATAAAAAGGTTTGCACGAGTCACAGCTTGCTGGTAGGTGTTGTTGCAAAACTTTTTTTTTGTTATTTTTTTTTTCTGTGTGACGGAGCTGGCTCGCAATTTGTAAAATAAGGCAGCAACAGCCCACAATTTACAATAAACAAGCATTGCTCACACAGACTATTCCAAATTATTTATGCATTGTTCCACTAGCAAAATGTCATAATCTTCAGCTGTCGTACCAAATGCTGAGATGTCCCAAAATGTATCTATGGAAAACTTCAGCTCAGGCCACCATGTCTCTGAATACTCAAACATCTCAAAAATGAACACCATGACAAATAAAACCACTAAAAATCCTCCTCTTCCACTCCTCCCTGTGCACAACTCAATGAAAGAAGCCCATGTTCTTCACTTAAAAAAATAAATAAACCTAGATTATTAGCTCATTGTTTTCTCCTTGCTGAACACTTTGCAGCATGTATTTATAGAGCTACATGTATTGATTGACTTCACAAATATTTCTGAATACTGCAAATATTAAAATAATTTCTTCCTTCTTATACCACAGCATGGCTTGTTTTTTACTAGTAGTTCACTTCTGTAAGCAAAAAGAATACATGCAGACATGTTTATATGCATATCTGTTTAAAGACGGTATGAAAAATTACTTAACTGAGAAGCAGAGTGAATCTGGTTTTGTTGACATAGCAGAGGTGACTTTCTGCTGTTACTTTGCTTAATAAAACTAAGTTCCCATCAGGTGTAAATTTGCCTATTATGTATTTGACTGTGTCAGCCAACACTTCACCTGTAGTCCTAATAAAAGTATTTCAAAATGCCTAAAGTGAAGTGCAAAAAGATAAAAAGCAGTGAAGAATTTCACACAATGGAGCGCAACTTAAGGAAAAATCATAGGCAACTGGATTTTTCTCCTGAGTAGAAATTGGAAATTTTTCGAAGTCTTATTTTGTTGTCATCTTACAAATACCTGCCTGTCCCAAAAAGGTTGGACTATTAGTAACACTGGTTAGAAAAAGACTCGAGTAAATGGGATAACTGGCTGAATGTAATCCCCAACTGCAATACCCTAGATAAGAGGGCTAGTGTAATCCTTAGGATATCTAAATGGAAATACAGCACTGAGGTGGACAAGTCATCCTACCTTCATTTAGCAATGGCACACCTATTAGAGATTTGCTGTTGTCCACAATCCAAGGCATAGATGTTGATACTAATATTGATAAATAAAGACCTTCAAACTCTTTTCTCTGTAAAACACACATACTCACAAGCTGCAGTGAGCCATATCAGACCCTAAACCACTCTCATTGCACTGAAATAGGACAGGATGATGGGTACCTTTCTGCAGAGGAAGATGGCTCCAAGTAGGTGAGAACCCAAAGGGAGGGTAACGGAGAAGGTAAAATGAAAAATATCCCACCTAGACAAGCATCAGGACACCTCCATAGCTAATGCAGCACGTATAGTCAAGTAATTCAGGTGTACAAGATGTGCTTTTACAGGAAAACATAGACAGCTTCTCTCTCTGTGAGCTACTAATTTATTTTAAGAGACCCTAGGCTGAAAGTGAATGCTTTCACCAGAATTCCTCAGAGACAGTCAGAGACCACAAGTGGCTTTCAGCATTGTAGTCAAGATATTTCTCTTACCTTGCTTTAGATATTCCTCTTACCTTGCTTTAAGTACTTCATTGACTTTTTGTTCTAGTTCTAATCTCCTCTGCCGTTCCCGTTCTAGCTCCTGCCTTAACGTTTCAGCATTCGTTTCTTCTCTCAGCTTCCTGAGCTCCTCCTCTGTTAATTAAGGGAGAAAAAAAAGATTTAGTTACTCTCAAGTATTTCTGTAAGAAAACTAAAACCTAATTATGACAGATTAAGTGTTATTTTTTTTTATCTGTGCTATGCCAAATTATATTCACCAGAAAAAACAAGCCATCAAGGACTAGAAAGACTTCACAAAAATCACACGGCTGTAACATGTACAGAATGTTTAGTTACAGTTGTTAAAGCAAGGAGAAAAACAACTTGAAAGTTTTCTTTTTGAGATGCGATGTATTAAAAATAAGCCCTCAGTACAAACTACCTTTACCTAAATAAAGTGTGATGTACTCTTCATTCCCCAAAGAAATAATCAGTAGGAAAGGCTGTCTATTGACAAATCCAGTGAGCATAACAAAGAAAAAAATAAGTATATGTTTTCTTCCCCTATGTGTATGGGTAGGAAAAAACACCCATATACTCACATAAAGTTAAATGATGCCACACAATACGCTATCCATCACTTTCTGGCACCCCTGTATTTTTATGTAAGTCAGATGGCCCCGTTATGGACCTGAGTATCTTACAGTTTTAAGAGGGGTTATGAGATGAGGAACTAAGTTCAGATTTTTACCATTTTCCAAGGCTACAGTGTACCTTACTAACTTACATGTAATAATCTATATATAAATATATATACACACACATATTTACTTATACAAACACATATACACACTCTCATAACTTTTTTCATGAGAAATGAGTATCAAGTACACATAAGGCTTTTTTTATGGCTAATTAGCCTTGCTTTTTTGCCACTGTCAGTATCCTTGTTCATGACCTTATTTTACTCTAGAGCTACAACGGGGTCACTATCACTAATCGCTTTTCCCAGATGGGTATACAAGAAACATGACAAAGAGAAGATTTGGATTTTTTTTTTTCTTTTTAAACAAAAAAATTACTCTACATTTTGGTCTCTGGGCTGGTTTTTAAGCTCAATGTCAACAATAAATAGCAGAACAGCAGGTGTATTTCAAGCTCAGAGCAAACCAGAACAGAAAATACTTGCTAATTCCACTATCAACACAGACACAGGGATTCAGGCTTTACGTTGCTTTACAAGACTCGTATATTATGTTCTACCCTTCATCAACCTCTTCTGTTTCTTTTTACATAGTCCCTTGTAAATCAGATAATTTTGATACCTGAGCTTGACTCCAATCATTACGTGTTTTGAGAAGGTCTGGAGCCCTAGTGCAAATATTCAGAGGAACTGATAAACGTTCCCTTCTCTGCAGGAGGCCCTTGTGCAGTATCTCCGATCGTTTTATCTGCTGTGTGAGGTGGTGGCAGATTATCTGTATTCCTAAAGCACTAAGAGGTTTAGAGCACAGAATTAGGAGAGATGGGAAAAAGATAAATGAATCGAGAGGACAACATGACAACTTCCACTGTGAGGCTACAGGTTGAACTCCACCAAACAGAAAAGAGTGCTGTCATCTCCCCTCTGACACTTTGTTAGTGACACTGGAGAGAAGAGTTGGAGTACAGAAACCAAGTTATCTTCCCACAACTAAAACTGAAATTTATTTCCAAGGGTAGGGTAGGGAACTTTCACTGTTGCAGCAGGTATTTGTCTCTCCTGTAAATAAAAGGAAAGATATGGACATAAAGGCATACCTATACATGGAGCTGTTCCTAATTATGTGTCTACAAGGAATTTTAAATCCAACAAGAAAACTACGTTTATAATTAGCTTACGCTACTTTCAAGGGCTCGCCTTGTTCCAGAACAAGAGCATGAACACAGATGAGGGGAAACATCTGTTGCAGCTCAAATGCACTGGATCTTGTGCAATATCATGAAGATATCACAAAAAGTTCCAAAGCTCAATAGGGATGTCATCTTTTCAAGACCATTAAAGGGAAAAAATTCTTCATTAAGCACTGTTGGGTTTTTTTTAAAGAGGAAGTGACTATGCATTGTGTATACATAAGAAAACCACAAGTAGTGTAAATTAACCTCAATGCCCTTGAAAGTCTACTCAGATCTTCCAGCTTCCTTAAATCCAGTTGTTCTGATTGAGCTACATCTTGTTCTATTAAAAACAAAACAAAACCCCCAGAAACTTGACCACTTGGAGGACAAGCAGTGCCAGAGATGAAGAATCTCTCTATGCAAAGAGGCAGAGTTAAAGGGTACACAATGAACAAGGTAGAGCTACAAGTCAAAACAAAAAATAAAGTATCTTATCATTAAGGATTGCCACAGCTTCACATTTCAGTGCATTTCCTAACTTTCACGTACATGACTAATTCAAATCCACCCCACTATGACTGCTTTGGCCCCTCCAACTCTTTAAAGCAGTATTTGTTGCTCCTTTGGCAGCAGTGTGATCTGGCATTGTAAAACTTCCATGTTTGGTTAGTTAAATGCTTTAAAGTTTGCTAAGCAACAGAAACTGGGTGATGGGGGGAGAGGAAAAGCAAAAAAAAAAAAAAAAAAAAAAAAAGAAAGAAGAAAAAAAAAATGTACTTCCTCACTCTCTCCCCTGCAATAATGTACAATTTGGCCAAGCTGAACTGAACTTAGTAGACATTTCTCTAGCCCTGAAGGTTTCTCCTGTTGAATGAGTGAAGTTGTCTACAAAGAGCAGAGGTCACGGACCCTTGAGAATAGCCTGTAAGAACATTTCACCACTGTATCTATCTACTAAGTTTTACAGATGAGTATTCTCCTTAACGATGAGAACAGAGTGCTCCTTGGATTTCATCTTCAGACAGTCAAAATTCGAACATCCTCCCCCCTCCACACACACGCAAAAGGGTAAAGCACAAAAGGTCACGCTTCAGCTCCAAGATTAATCACCCTCCATAATTTCCCTCCCAGGCATATCAATCACAGCTCCCTATCTCCTGCTGGGCAAGAAACATTAAAATATTACAAGAGGCTCAGTGCATGTCTTAACTGGACATACAGGTGATGTGAGAAGTCGTAAAGGTGTCCTGGTCAGAAGGGGAAAATTACTAAGAGAAGAAAATGTCTGCTGAAATACTGACAGAGAAAATGCCAGCCAGACTGGGAACTAGGCTTGGGAAGCAGTAGCATCCTTGAGAAGTACAGCTGGTCTCTTTGAAGTACACAGCTGGATACCTAGAAACCAAAGACATCCTGAAATACCATTGATTAGCATGAAAACAAGAACTGTAACAGCAACTTATCATCTGAAAAGGTGAAAAATAGTCTAGAAAAAGTGGAAAACATCCTGAGAAAGTAAGAATTAGTAACTGCCACTGGCTGTTCTATCTGCAAGAACAGGAAAACAGTCTGGAAAAATAAAAATTAGCCTGATAGAACAGAAAACATCAACATCTATTGGCTATTCTGGGTGAAAAAACAGAAATTAACAGCATCTATTAGCTGCTGAAGTGTTGGTATCCTAACCTCCTTATTTCTGAACTGTCCGCAGAAACTTTCTAAGAAATCTTGGACCCTCACTGAGAAGCATGTGGTTTATCCTCCCACTTCTGAGATGGTGGGGTTCCACTCTGGGATCTGCTTGTCCTCCCCTCTGGGATGATCTGGCATCTTCTGAGATCTGTCTAAGCTTGATACTGGTATTATTGTGAACATACATATATGTGCATATATAATTAATCTATCATAAGTATCTCTGTTGCTATATTATTGATAAGTTTGCCTCACTAGTGCTAAGATTGTAGTAACCTGTAACAATATACACTTACTCGGTTGCTGCCATACTATTGATTGTTGCCAATAACAGCTTTTTAGATATAGACATATATACACACACACATATATATGGATATATATGTTTTCAATCACATATATATTTGCTTTATCAGTCACATGTATAGTTCCTAGTGGTGATTTTTGTAATATTTGTGGAAATCTATAATAAAGTAGAGAAATTTAGAGAAAAAATCTCCATGTCCTTGTATGTCACAGAATGCTACCAACCTACAGTCACGATCTCTATATAACTGCAGGCTGGGTAACCCTTTAGGTCATGACAGCAGGTGTGACCCTGCAAAAATGCTTTAAAATCTAACAAAGTCAACTTGTGTAGAAAAGCAGGACAATAACTGGATAAAATTGCACTTTTAAACATGAGAGAAAAAAGTAGTAACAGGCAACAATAGTGTTTCAACTACATTAACTTGCATATTATTGCATTGTAAACCCTAGGAGAGCTGACCCTGTAGGAAAGACCACCACTAGCAATGCATCTCACAAGTTACCAAAAAAAATGTATCCACTTCAGGTTTTATACAGCATTTTATCCTCTATTAGGCGTAACACAACTATTGCACCTAAACTCTAAGGATGTGATCATTTAAATTTAAAGACTTAACAATTTAAAAAGTTTACTTGACACCATGTAGTTGTTAAAAGACAAGCTACCCAGCATTTCACTGAATTAGCCTGTCATCAGCCACTACAGCAACTGAAGAATTACAGTTTGCTCCCCAGAATACACAAGCTTGTAAGAAATGTGATAAAAAGTTCTTAAATACCCAAGTATTTAGTTCAGGTGAGACTGAACAGTATCTGAGTAGTATTTAGAGAAGAAGGATGATACACCAGGTTGGGAAGGTATGGCAGCAATTTGGATTTCTAATTCAATACTGCATGTGCAGTAAAGCGGATGTTTTGCTTGATGCAGGGATCAGAGGTGGATTAGGGAGTCTCCTAGTAGCTGTTTTACGTAACAGCATTCCTTTGTAGGCCTACAGGTATGCTGCAAAATCCATCTCCCCTGACCTCTGAGCCAAAGTGACCAATAAAAAAATCCCCTTTCAGACCGTAACTAGAGGCTGCAGACCACCGTTTCTAGCCACCAAATCAGTTCAGTGTTAAATCTAAGGAGATAGAGTTAAAAGCTAATAATGCCAAAAGTGTACATGCACCCTGTTGTATTTACATGGGGAAACACCAGTACTTAACAAGACACAAATAATCCTTCTATATCTACGTTAATTATGGTAAATCTCCCCACCCTTTGAGTATTA